TTCAAAATCTCTTATCTTTAATGCACTTTAATTCATGTTTATTTGTTAATACATATAAATACGTATTTATATATATATATATATATATATATATATATATATACTTGTTGTGAAATCTATTATCTAAATTTTGAATTATCTTTAATGTATCTTGATTCATGCGTATTTTTTTTTTTGAAAAGTAATTTTGTTTTCAAATTTTATTTAATGTACCTTGATTCATGTGTTTTTTTTTAGAAAATAGTTTTATTTTTAAATTAATTTAATATCCGAATAATGTAATATTATAACAATAACAGTGTAACAAATACACTGTAACAAAAACAGTATTCAGTAGTTTTGTGTTTGTGGTAACAAATTCAAAATGGAGATGGACTATTTTGAATGAAATTATAAAAAACTATATGTTTGACAAAATGTAATAGTACAATATTTTGTGTAAATAGTTTGTTGCACTGTTATTGTTATATTGTTACATTGTTACACTTTTATTGTTACATTGTTACACTATTCGGATATTAAATTAATTTAAAAATAAAACCACTTTCAAAAAAGAAAATATATGAATCAAGGTGCATTAAAAGATAATTCAAAATTTAGATAAGAGATTTAACAACAAGTAGATACATGCATGCATATATAAGTATTTATATAAGTGTATGTATATATATACATAATGCATGAATCAATTTGCATTAAAATATAATTTATATACATATACGTTTTCATATATACATGAATACAAATTTTGAAATTCAAATATATATATGTGTGTGTGTGTGTGTGTGTGTGTGTGTGTATAAATATGTATTAAAGTTTTCCTATAAAACTAGGAGATATTTAATACATCACTTTATAAAGAAAAGTGATGCATTAAATACATATGAACTAATAGAGGGCAAAAATGTCATAAAAAAAATCAATAAAATTCAAATAATATACTTAGATACAAATAAGTATCAAAATTAAGGACTTAATTACCCAATATTTTTTCTATATATTTTTTTACAATTAAATCTAATTGGGTGTACCGCCTTCTAATTTTCCCGACTAACTTTGTGTGTTTTAATCAGGCCAGCCCTAATGATCCCAACAAGCCAAAAAACCATGCTCAAAAGCCCTATGTGATCGGTTGCCCACAGGTCTACATGCGATGGGTTGACTTGGCCTATGTCCCTGTCTATCGAACAAACCCATCAATTAGGAGTCGAATGATCTCTTATTTACCCCAATCACGTTTAAATTATGCCAAAAAAACCCCTAGTGAATTTGGAGCAAATAATATTAGGAGTATACTTTTACTGTTTGTTTACTTTAAGTATTAGGCAAGAGGGATTAGATAAAAAATGGTAATTTAGGGGTCAGTCCTTTTACATGGACTTATTTGGAGATAAGTTCATCAAGAAAACATATTTGCTTTTAAGTACATTTTACCTTAAATTTTCTTAAAAAACCTTTCCTTCAGTCTTCCATTCAGAAAAATCTGTTGAATCAAAAACAACTATTAGGAGAACCATATAATTGCAATTTAATGAAAAAACTGATATGGGAAAGGGATGAAGCAAATAAAATTGTAGAAATAACGAAAATTGAAGATGAGGTGAAGACAATACACATGTACATTCTATCTAAGAAGAAGGACGTGCTGAGAATTTTCATCATTAATATTGGAAGAAGACACAAGGAGAGTGAAATATCTAAGGTTGAAGATTATGTGATGAAACTTGTTGACATGGATAACGAAATAGCACAACTGAAGAATTTGGTTAATCTCAAGGAGAAACATTAGGAAAAAAACAAAAAGGAAGAAGAAATGAAGACAATGCAATCAAAGTTGACGGAATTAGAGGTGGAGAACAATTATTTGCATGACTTGGTTGCTGAAATGACACAACGGTATGTAAACATTGAACCTGCAAAACCTGCAACTGTAACTAAAGTAGAAACATCAATGGTTAGAAAAATCAAGGCGAAAGAAAGGGAATGGAAGAGGGATGAAGATTATGTGTATAGTAAGAAAAAAAGAGGAGCACGGAAAAAATTGAAAGAACAAGAAATGGAGAGCAAAAAAGAAAAGCCGAAAGGAAAAGAAAATATGGAAGATAGCATCATCAAATTTGATGATCTAGATTTGAAGCTATCGAAATAGAAACCAGAAAATAAGAAAGAAGAAGCTTGAAAATGGAGAGCTTTCAAAAAATTGCAACCTATGGCTACAATAAATTGCACCAAATTCATACTGCTGAAGGAAAAATATAAGTAATTTTATGAATTCACATTTAACACTACTTACATGTTACATTTTTCAGTCAATTTCACAAGATTTTTTAAATGAAAAGGACAAACATATGGGGTGGAAGGAAGCTTGGATATTACTTCAATGTTGACGATGCATTGAACTTGATGATTGGGAGAGTGGTTTTCAACAACGTAAGTATTTTACTTCTTGGCTGTCCTAAAAATCCTTAACACGCACGTCTTCAACCTATGTTCTATAACAAAAATGTGTTACTCATCATGTAATTCAATGACATTATGGCTAAATCACAACAGAAAAAAAAATCGACATACATGCAGGAAAACAAATCCAATCCAACATGTTTGATATCAAAATAGAACAATGAACAATTACACACGAAAAACATGAAATACACAATCTGATAAAAACAACATTAAGTAAAGAACACATTTACAATGAGTACAGCATGAAGTATCAGCTAGAACGAAATCAAAATCTGCAGCATTATGGCTATTTACACAACGAAATTCAATGGCATTATGGCTAAATCACAAACGCAATCAAGACAAAAAAAAATAACAAAAAAAAATTGACATACATTTAGAAAAACAAATCCGAATAAACATGTTTAATATCAAAACAGAACAATGAAAAATTAAACACGAAAAAACACAATCTAATAAAAACAACATTAAGTAAAGAACAAACTTACAATGAGTATAGCTTGACGTATCAACAAGAACAAAATCGAAATCTAGCAATTGAACTCACCAAATTAATCACTTTTTTGATCGCGGAATGGAAGTATGAACAAAAAAGAAAAAAGAGCATTCGCAGAAGATTGATGATTGAATAACAAAAAAAAAACAAAAAAACACACGCAGACACAATTTGAAAACAACGTTAAAGAGAAAAAGTGAATTACAAGGAGTGTACATTGATGAAAATAACTTTGGCAATTGCACTCACAAATTTCAGCAATCGCACTAAAGAAATCCGGCAAAAATGAATGCAAAAACGAACTCTGGCAATCGCACCCAAGATTTCCGACAATCATAGTGAAAAACTCCAGCAAAAATCGAATGTAAAAAAGAACTCCGTCTTTGATCTATGAAAAAATTAAGACAAAGGTTTAACAGAAAAATAATGAAGATGAATTTGAATTTCAAATTTTATGGACAAATCGCACCGACAGTTATGAGCGCGAATTGAGGGGTAGATCTCAGCGTTTTCCAATTAGGAAAAAAGCTTAACGTTGAGGACTGAATTGAATGATATATTAAGGGTATTTTGGAGTTTAACTACTTACTTAAATATTAAAATAAGATTTATTTCCAAATAAGTTTAGGTGATAAACTTATCTCATTAAAAGTTTTATAAAGATGACTTAGTCTCAATTTTCGCATAAAATAATGTATGGGACCACCTTATCCAAATTATACCCATGTTTGGATACACAATTTGAGGCCGTTATTATCACTATAAATAGTCCAAGGGCTAGATGAAGAGTGAATTTAATACCATAAATACCTTCTTAAATAAACCCACCTATTAGATGGGTTAAAATACTTTGGTCGGGAAGTATTTGTTTAAAATATATTTTTATCTCTGACAAACTCATATATAAATACCAAATATGGGTATGATTTTGGATAATTTTAATAGTTATAACATCATTCAATACTCCATCTAAATAAAATGTTACATTGAATAAAGGAATACTTGAACAAAACAAAGGATAAGGAGAATGAATTTTAGATTTTTATTTTTTCTGGGAAAAAGGTCCACGGTCCCAGTTCAAGTACTTTTTTGCTATTACATGGAATAAAGGTAGGTCCACAATTTTTAAATACTTGAACCAAACTGGATTTTAGATTTGCAATTTTGTGGGAAAAGAGGCTTGTGATCCACAGTCGAGCACTTTTTATGATTTAAGTCCAATGTGAGCACTTTTAACGTCAAAAGTCCATAAAAGATGGGCTTGATAAAAATACCTAACGGAGGAGGTCACCATCATCCATCATCCCCATTCACTGAAATTCAACAACTTTCCAAATGAAATGACAAAATTGAATATCTCCAAAGGAACTTTGCTGGACATTCACTTTTTTCTTCAATATCCATGGTCAGCTAAAGTATCCTAGCTTTCGTTTCATCCTCTCTTTCTAGAGCAAATCATGGTGGGACAATCAGTTGTTAGGAAAGGTCCATTATAGAACACAGAAGAAAAGAAAGGGACAACAAAGGATGCTCTATCTTCCACCCAGGATCAAACAACCAAAAGAAAAGTGCAGAAAAAAACAAGTTGGACATTAAAGACATGCCACTCTTGCAAGATTTAGATTCTCAATGGGATATTGTACAAAATAATATTATTTTGTTGGCAACTGAGGCACCTGGAGTACCAGAACTTCTATACATGAATTTCAAAAAATCTTCCGTAGTTCATATAAAAACATGATCTCACTTCATGCTTTTCAATATAAAACACCCATTTAAAGTTTTTCAATGAAAGCTTATTTTACAGACACACATTTACATTGTAAAGTGAATTAAAAAAATCCTCAGTACAAAGGTAACTTCAGAAACCTATAGCACTCATTTCAAAATTTCAATGGGGAAGGTCAAATCCTTGGACGGCTTTATAAGGACAGGGAAAAACCAAAGAACTCTCCTCATTTCATTCACTGACAAAGAAAGCCTCACTACAAGTAAAATCTCAACTCAGATGGAATTTTCATATATATAGAAATACTTGGATTCAACAACCATTGCCTTGGTCCTCTCCCAAGGTTTCATTTAACCAGGCAATCTCGTCTTCGTCAAACATTGGAAGATCATTTCCTCCATTTTCAAACTCTTGCATTGGAAAATCAATGTCTGAATCATTCAGATCCTTAAAAAACTGTCCGAAATCGTTATCATCTAGCTCCTCAAAGTTCATCTGTCTCAAATTATTATGACAATGCAAATTATCTTCGATACTAAAATTGTGGCCTGGATTAGAGGGTGACATTGGCAGATCTTCCAAGAAATTAGAAATGAATTGATCCCCCATATCACTACCAAATGGCAAATGGTCATCCAATCCCATGTTAAATTCCTGTCGAATGGAGGGTAAGACCAATTGATTTTCTGAAAATCCCACAATGGGTAGCTTTTCTCCTTCTCCCTCGATTTTTATTGCATTGGTTTCTTCTTTTATTGCATTGCCAGGGCCATTGACAAAGGGGTTTGATGTAGAAACATCAAGAACAGATGATGGGGATGGATGAGAAAACAAAGCATTAGTCTCCTCCGAAGCACAAGACCCCTGACCAGTTGAAGCTGCGGATGAAATCGACTTCTTGCTCCTTTCCAGCATAAGTGTCCTTTCAATCTCAAGTTTTTTTGTCTGATAAGCTGTGGAAGCCTCTTCTGCAGTATTATAAGTACCAAGCCATACTCTTTTCCCTATAATCGGGTCCCGAATCTCTGCTGCATATTTTCCCCACTTCCTTTTCCTAACACCTTTGTATATCGAGGATGATCTTTGCACCTTCTTGTTTTCGCCTATTTGGCCAGCAATTTTCCCCCCATTGTTGCAACAGTGCAGAGAATTCTCTGAAAATGACTCATAAGGACCCCCCGGAACAACAATTTCCCTCACAACACGCTTAAATCTTGGACATCCGTGTTTATTATCATGAATTGGCTCATCCTTTTCACTCCCAGAATCAGTGGCATCAGGATCATTGAAGCTAATGCGAAGTTTTCTCATTGATTTTGCACACTCCTCCATGCATTTTTTTCCTTTTTTTATTTTCTTCCCATTATTATTGATCTTAGTTGGACTAAAAAATTGCCTTTGAAGCCCTGGCATTGCTTGAATAAACAATCTCACAAATAAATTTGAAGATAAACCCTAAACCCCAGAGCAAAGAATAACTAAATATATTTTAAAAGAAGAAAAAAATTGTAATTCCTCAGTCCCAAGAAAAATTCACAGCCTTAAGACCCAAATCTGAATAGAATAAACGCTTTATATGAAAAGCTCCAAAGAACTCCACTCCAGAACAAGTCCTGCACCAAACACCCAATCCCACCAAGAACGCATCAATACCCACGTCAGAACATCAGACACATTTGTGTTTTGCACATTGTATATCTGGGAGAGAGAGTGACAGACAGACAGACAGAGAGCGAAAGAAGAGAGAGAGGCAGAAAGGGAGAGCGAGAGAGAGCGTGTGTGCCTATATGTGTGTGCATAAATAGATGAACACATATATATATATTTTATTACTAATGTATACACTAAATTTGAACATATGTTTACTGATTGATGGAAAAAGGTCATACCTTTGTGATCTCAAACACATGGAAAGAGTACGGGGTACTCTGTTATTGACTCTGGGGGATACAAAAATAGGTAAAGAAAGCAGAGATTGAGAGAGCCGGAGCTCCCTTGAAACTCCTGTCAAATCAAGAACACTCCTATTGCCAGACGACATATAATCCACTCTCTCTCTCAAACACCTTCCTTTGTCAAGAAATAGCGAAAAAGCAACAAGAAACTGGAACAAAAACCAAGAAAAGTTCAAATTATATGGAACCCAGAAAATTCAACAGCTTGATTTTCGCAGATTTGTTGCCAAAAGAATATATGGGCTATACGGAATAGGAATATATGGAAAAAGAATTAAGTAATACAGATTGCAATTCACAAATTTAATTAGTTACTTTATTTATAGTCTTTGGATCTTTCTTGAGTGCTCTGTTTGTCTCTTTCTCTCTATCTCTGTCTCCTGCTTGGCGTGTAGGCTTGTGAGTTATGGCACCGCCTCTATTCTCTATCCTGCATGCATTGGGGACTATCTGTTATAGCCATTAGCCAATCCCAGTGTTAAGTTGGACTCATCTGCTCCAGCATGGTGCTATTTACTCAATTGTACAATGAGAGTTAATAGAGTTAGCCTTAGCATGGCCATTTTGGTAAAATCAATGAAAAATATCTCGGTCATGTTATTTTGCAACTTGCTTTAATCTTCGCTCATTCAAAAAATAGAATAATGCTATATGGATTTAAAAAGTAGACTTAAAAATTAAACTTGATAATCTCGATCATTGAATAGGTAGTGGGTCTCAATAAATGCTGAGATCTACAGTAAAATCAATAGTTGAGATTACTAAGTCTAATTTTTAAATCTACTTTTTAAATCCATATAGCATTACTCTAAAAAATATATACTCCTTAACAAAGAAAATGATCTTTCCTCTATTATCTTTCATGCTTTTTCACTTCTTTTCTTTTTTTTTTTCCGGTCCCAACGTATTAAACACGCCAATCTAAGCCTTTTCTCTCTCTTCCCGTCTCTTTAAGTCTTTTTTTTTTTTTTTTGCCTCCATTTTCCTTTCTCACAGGCCACCCGATCTTTTTTCTTCCCAGGAGACTCGAGTAAATGTATCTTACATTTGTACAGGAAGGTTACATCAGAATGTTTGGCTTCTGTCCTTCTTCCTTTATCTTCTCATCCTCTGATGTTTTGGCTGATTTCGGTTAATTTATGGCCGGTTCTACTTTATCTTGGAGGTTGTTGTGATTATGATGGTGGGTTTGCATGAGGCAGGTGGCGGTGGACTGAAGAAAAGGCAGAAAGTCGAGGTTGGAATGAAGACTAACGGCGTGAAATGTGAGTCTACCAAAATTATGTTTTGATGGTTTAAAAATTACAACTAACCTGCCTTTACTTTATAAAAATTTCAGTGGAGGCAAGATTACACTCCAAAACTTTTTAAAATTGTAGTGAGGCCATTATAAATCTGCCCGATTATGTAATGAAATTGACTTGGAATTATTGATTGTATGATAAATTGATCTTAAATTTTTTTACATATGATTAATGTGAGAAATTTCTATTATTTTATTCAATTTCTTTCTATAAAGTATTGTTTGAAAGTTGACTTTGATAAGTTTTGATGGATGTTAATTTGACAAGCACTTACACGCCAAAACACGTGCCAATCAAAAACACATGAAGAGGGACAAGGGCCATGAGATATGTGATCTGGTGAGATATACCCAGATGATCCTAGCTGCATTGACAACTCACTCGCCCAACCCCAAGATAATAGCTCAAATCAGCTCTAGCTAAGGAAGGGAAGCTCCGCTTTAAGGGACGCTTCATTTGAAAAGTGAGAGGCAAGCTAGGAACCAGGTAAGTAATTCCTCCTAGCGCAATTCCAATTAATCTCTTTTAGCCTTTACTCATTTAATCATCAAAGGGTTGATCCCTAGGGTCCCTCCGATCTTTAACTTCCTTGCAGGAGCTCGACAGGAATTACAGAGTCATCAAAAAATCCACTAGTACTGCTTTTGGGATCAACAATTGGCATCGTCTGTGGAAAATGCTTTCACAAATTTCAAATCCAATGGCAGTAACAAGGGCATCAAAGGAACCTATGGTTGATTGGACAATTGAACGCATTAGTACCCACCCAGTGGGACAAAGGGTTGTGCTCCGTCAGAAAAGGAGTCCACAAAAGGTGAAGAGGTTGGAGAAAAAAATCGAGGAATTAAAGAAGCAAAGTCAACAAATTCTCCAACTTCTAGAGCAACCAAGGAGCATGCGGGAGACAACCAGACGATAACCGAAGCCAAAACGAGGTTACTTGACCTCAAACCAACTACCAATGGGAACAAAAGTTCCAAGAAGTAAATGAAAAGTTAAGGAACATCATGAATACATTAAAAGCCCCGAGCCTCTGAGGTCGTCGAGGTTTTAGTGCAGTATACTGAATCACCATTCACACAAGACATTGCGAATTACCCATACCAGAAAGGTTTAAGATGTCTATTGCTTGCCCTTAAAAGGGGTTGTATTTTGAGCTTTCCCAAGCGTAAGAGAAAAATATCATGTTGTAACTCGAACAAAAAGTCTAAGGTCGTCTCCTCATAGAAAGAATTGGAATCCAAGGTGACAAAAAATTAAAGGAAAAAGCTCTTTGAAGTTGAGAATTTTGAGAGTTAACTACTAATGAAATTGAAATTCAATAAATGAAAAACTGAATAATCTTCAAAATTCGTCCCACCTATGAATAAAAGTTTCTAATTCAAATTTATAACTCATCTGCTTTTGTATTCAAACTATTACAAACGAATGATTTTCAACTAAAACTTTGAAAGAACAAATGTAGCAATTGAAAGATAGTTTATGGTGGAAGAATCAATATCCTAAAGGTCATAGAAAATACCACAATTATCTATACCAAAACTAATTGTATATAGATAAGCGGGAAATATACAAACTAATTAGATTTTTAAAATATAAAATATTCAATCAATCACACAAACGTTAAACCCCTAGTTTAGAGTGTACATCCTACTTCATAGGTTGGAACTCCTTACTCAGATTATCCAAAGGAAGACTACTCAATCATGATAATAAAAATAACACAAAGCATTAAAGAGAACATAATTAAATTCAGAAAAGTAAAGATTGAATTAAAATTGATCGCTTGTATTGAAAAACTGAATGTAAATAACAAGACTTTGAAAATAAAGACAATTGAATGTAAATATTGTTTGAACAAATAAAAGAACTGAACTTGAAAGAATAATAGTGCAAAACTCTATAAAATAACCCTAAAACTCTCTAACGTAAATAACAAAAAAAATTGAAACAAAAAAACTCATAAACATCTTTTATCCCCCTTTTATTCTCCAAAGGGTCTCTATTTATTCTGGTTGAAATGAGAATCTTCAGATCTTTGGTAAATATCTTCCACAAAATTATCTACTTCTTTTATTGGTTGAGAATCCCTAAAAGATATGGTCAGATCTGATCTTTAATTAAGCTTCCCGTGAAAATCTGTCTTGACCTATCTGTAGAACAATAAAAACAATCGGTAGAACCTTTGTCTGATAAAATCTCTTAAAGTACAGTAGCTATTTCTACTGGTAGAACATTTATGATAAAAGTATTGTAAGATTTTCTACCGGTAGAACATGTTTAACTACCGGTAGTACTTATCTGATAAAAAAGTACAAAGTATTATGAGTTTTGCTACAGGTTGAAGTAATGGAGAATAGCCCTCACAAAGGGAGAGAAGGGGAACAGAAGACCAGTTTCAAAGGCATGCTCAAAGAAGCAAGCCCAAATAGGGAAGACTGTGTTGCATGGAGAGTTAGGCTGGGGAACCCAAAGTCAAACCCTAGTAGGGAAGCCATAGAGTTCTCGGACGATCAGCAAGGTAGACACCGTCATTATGCTGGGAACCATCAAGTCAACCCAAATAGGCTTTATAAAAAGGCCAACACGCCTCCTAAAGGTTTTGATCTGATGTTGAGCATCCATGTGGAAGAGTTAAGTGAAAATGAAATGCAAAGAAGATAATGAAGCGTGCAGAGTCCTGATAAACCTTAAATAGGGGAAGAGCCACTTTCTCTTAAATGGATTTAAATGCAAGTAACTTCACTTGGGGGGGTGTATGACCAATATTCAAGGTATCGTAAAGGTGAAGCGACATTAGTTACACCTTGTGGACGCTTGGTAGTTGTGGCATAATACCATTGTCACTCGCAGGTCGCTTCGAATGTCACGTGCAAGCCACAAGTTCATTCATCTTAGCTTGGGCTCATCATGACCCAATTAAACAAGGACCAAGTCTCAAGTGAAACTTGGAATAATTAAAAATTTGCTTACGCACCAAATTTTTTTTTTAAATTCAGGCATTGTAAATCCGCTCATGATTATGTGATGAAATTGAGTTGAAATTATTGATTGTATGATAAATTGATCTTAA